ATCAGGACCTCAATAAGATTATAGCTGCGGCTCAATTGACTGCTGATGCCACCCTCACATCAGCCAAATTTTCTTCCAGAGCCATGGCCTCTTCCATAACAGCACACAGGCTTCTCTGGCTAAGAAATTGGCAGATGGACGTCAGAACCAAATGGAAGCTGGCGTTGGCTCCCTTTAAAGGAGAGAGGCTTTTTGGGGAAGTCCTGGATCCCTTTTTGATGGAAACCAGGGACAAGTGAAAGATCCTGCCCTCTTAGGGGAAGCGCTTTGATTACAGGTCTCATCCCTATTACAGGAAACCCTCTTTTAGCAGGGGGAAGCTGGGGCAGGCTTTCCCCGTCAAAGTAGGCCCTTTTTCCAGAGATCCTCCTCTCAGGCCGATAGACAGGCCTTTGCCGCCAGAGGCGTCAGAGGCAAGAGGGCAGAAGGTCCTTTAGGGGTTCCAACAGACCTTTCAGGCGCAACAAGTGACGCCCGAGCCTCATGCCCCATAGGGGGCCGCCTGGGACTGTTCTGGCAGAGATGGGAACAGACCACAATGGATGTTTGGATCCTGTCAACTTTACGGTCGGGTCTCTCTCTAGAGTTTCTCTCCTTCCCCCCCCCAAGAGCTTTTGTGTGCTGCCCCATCTCCAGGGACCCCTCAAAGAGGAATCTCATGGAATCAGCGATCCACCATCTGCTGGACATTCGGGCCATCCAGCCGGTTCCGGTGGACTAGGAGAGACAGGGTTTCTATTCAATGTTGTTTGTGATTGCAAAGGCCGGGGGGGGGGGGGGGGAGCAATCCTCAACCTGAAAGGGCTCAACAGACATCTAATCTATCGAATGTTCAAGATGCACTCCCTGCACTCCATTCTAGAGGGACTGCGGGAGGGAGATTTTTTGGCCTCGGTAGACTTGACAGAGGCCTACCTCCATGTGCCCATACACCCCAACCACCGTCAGTTCCTGAGGTTTTGCTATGGCGGCTGCCATTTTCAATACAGGGCTCTCCCGTTCGGCCTGTCATCAGCCCCTCAGACTTTTACCAAGCTCTTGGCAGCAGTAGCGGCACACCTCAGAGCCTTACCCATAAGGATCCAATGCTGTTTGGACGACATCCTGATAACATCCTCTTCCAGACCCCAGGCAGAGAAGGATCTGATGTCGACAATCAGGATTCTTCGATAGCATGGGTTCTCGATAAATCTGGACAAATGCCACCTCGTACCATCGACTTGGCTTTTGCATTTGGGGGCCATTATAGACACGTTGGCCGGGCAGGTTTTTCTCTCACAGGAGCGTTGAGACAGTATCAGGGTAGTCACGTCACTGATCCTGTCTTCCAAAGAGGCGCCTATCATCTTGCTGTCTCAACTTCTCGGCAAAATGATATCATGCATCGGGATTGTCCCATGGGCCCGCTTCCACGCCCAAGCCCTTCAGTGGTTCCTCACCAGAGGGTGAGCAGGGGCGACTCTCCAAGGAGGGTTCGTGTCCCCTTGCCAGTTCTTCATTCCCTCCATTGGTGGCAGTCCTGAGCCATGGACCTCCCGAAGTTCTTTGTTCGATTCCTGCCCGAGGAGTAGAAGGGGTCAATGCTCTCCAGTGCAGGTGGCCCCAGGGACTATTGTATGCCTTCCCCCCTTCCCCTAATTCTGGGGGCAATCAGGAAAGTCCTTATAGAAAGGGCGGAAATTCTGTTGGTAGACCCTTACTGGCCCAGGCATCCTTGGTTTGCCGACCTGATGGGCTGTCAGTTGCCAGACCCTGGAGAATTCCCCTGCACAAGATCTCCCTCAGCCAGGGCCCGATCGAGCACCCAGATCCAGCCTGGTTTCGATTGACTGTCTGGCACTTGAGTGAGAGATCCTGAAATGAGAGAAGCTTTCCACAAAGGTCATTCAGACCATCCAGGTGGCCAGAAGACCTTCCATAACCAGGATATATAACACAACGTGTAAGATTTTCTGCAGTTGGTGCGCTTGTAACCAATTGGAACCCACTGGAGTTTCTGTTGCAAAGGTATTAGAGTTCCTGCAGGACGGGTTGGATAAAGGTCTTGCCCCCAATACCTTGAAGAGACAGGTGGCTGCCTTGGCCTCGGTGATTTCGGTCAAGGGCTCTACTCTGGCCCAACACCCTCGAGTGAAAGCCTTCCTTAGGGGAGCCACGAATCTGAGGCCACTGGTGGTCCACCGTTACCCCACCTGGGATTTGCCTAAGGTCCTGCAGGCACTAGCTTCTCCCCCATTTGAACCCTTACGTGAAGTCTGCCTTCAACTTCTCACGTGCAAGGTGTCATTCTTGGTGGCCATTACCTCGGCCAGGTGTATTTCGGAGTTGGCAGCCTTATCCATCAGGAAGGATCTGTGCGTATTCCATGCAGACAGGGTGGTTCTGCGGTTGGACCCTACCTTCCTGCCCAAGGTGAACTCCTTATTCCATCATTCACAGGAGTTGATTTTGCCTAATTTCTGTCCTGAGCCTACCCACGCACTAGAGAAAAAATGGCACACCTTAGACATTAGGACGGCCCTCCGTATTTACATTAAAAGAACTTCTTCTTTTAGAAGAATGGAAGCCTTGTTTGTTTCCTTTCAGCCGTCAACTTTAGGTTGCAGGGTGACACCTTCCACAGTAGGTCGCTGGCTCAGAGCCTGCATTGCAAAAGCCTATGAGTTACGAAGAGGATCACAGCGCACTCAACCAGAAGTGCAGCGACCACCACAGCCTGGGCAGTGCAGGCATCGATTCTGGACATTTGTAGAGCTGCGACCTGGTCATCGGTGACCCCATTCATAAGACATTACAAAATTGACTCCTTTGCCTCAGCGAAGGCCTCCTTTGGAAGACGAGTCCTGCAGGGTGTGCACGTAGAGGTGGGGACCTCCGACCAATCCAGCTCCCACCTGTAGGACAGGCATCAGCCAGCTTTGGTATGTCCCATCCTGGATTCTCCCTTCGACTCAGTGGAGAAGGGGCATTGGTCCTACCTGAATGCTGCTTCTTGGGGAGCCGAAGGGAGAATCCAGTCCCACCCTGTATTCTGTCTGGTCGGAATAGGGAGGAAATGTCCCTTTTTTTGCAGTATCAATGAACTATCTGTTTGAAGACAAGGCACAGCTGAATTTGCTTCAACGTCGTTCAGAACTGGGGATCGTTACCAGGGGGTGTGTCCTCAGTTTTTCAACTCGGTCTGCAGAGCTAGGAGACTACCCATCCTGGATTCTCCCTTCGGCTCCCCAAGAAGAAGCATTCAGGTAGGACCAATGCCCCTTCTAATTGCCAAATTCTAACAAAGAGTGCTGTAATAGGTGAAAACCAGTAGATGTCAGTGTTATGTTATTAAGTTAGTACACTTATAGCTAGCAATTATTCTGCTTTTGCTTTATAACCACTAAGAAAAAGTTGGAAGCTGGAATTGATCTATTCTTTGTGACAACTAGACCGATCATTAAATCAAAAAGAAATTCAGAATAATGCAAATAACTAAAACACCTGATGAGATCAGAAGGTGGATTGGATAAAGACTGATGTAGTGTGCTAGGTGTTACATTATATGAGATGAACATGCAATATAAAACATACAGTAAACTGATAACTAACCTTCTCTGTAAAAACATAAAAACATTTACAGCAGCTTGCAACATCCCGCAGGGACATTAAACTCATTTTACAATGGTTTTGCCAAACACCAGCAGATACTTCTGGTTTTCCGCAAACTGTTCAAACCATTCACTTAATGACAATGACATTTTCTTAATGACTGCCACAAAAAAATGTAAAATTGGGTCGGGCACATTGGCAACCCATTTCAAGACTGTAATAACTTACAACCGTTATGGACAAGCTCCATTACAGTCATAACTTGAAAACTACACATATTTCATGTATTGTACCTGTAGGCAGTGTAAGAATAAGGATATAATTAGATATGTTTGTACATATCTAATCCATAAGATGTCACACACATTTGGTTAAAAACATTTTATGGTTAGGTGTCATACTATGTGGCACCACTGGTGCCAATTTAAGAAGCTCAGTTTTATCAGTTGTATTCCACTGAAGTCTTTTGTCACATTGTAGTGGGTGGGATAAGCCTCTTACTATCTGTTTTTTAAATGAGATCTGACCTTGCTGCTGCTTTTTTAAATTGCTCCAAAATCATAACTTTTAAAATAGTTAAGATGTTTTATAGAAGATTGCTATTTTTTTGTGTAAACCAAAAATATTTGCTTGGAAGAAAAAAAATGTATGTAAATAGCTAGTTTAGTTCTGAATAACTGAAAACAAGCAAAGAAACAAACAAATAATGATTTTCCTAAATGTGATTGAGTTGATAAGGTTGTGACAGAAGTTACAAGTAATGATTCTGTTGAGCCCCTGGAAAAGTGAGGTGACAGTCATTGGGGAATTCCTTATGGTCTTCATAGGTGCTATGCTATAGATTTCCAGATTTGAAACCCTGTTCATTAAGTTGGGTTCTAGGAATCAGTCAAGATTGTTACTGTTGTACTAGCTCTCTTCCACATAGCAGCTTTTTTACCTGCTGCTCCTTGAGTCCATTTCTGGGTTGGTGATGGGAGTTCTTCAGACTTACAGTTTTGGGGGGGACTTTAATCTGCCTTCCCTACGAATGAGATCTGAGATGGCTTGGGAGTTCATGGTCTTCATGACAGCCGTGGGCCTATCTTAGGTCCTCCAGAGCCTGATGCAGGATAGTGGTTACACTCTGGATCTGGTATTCATATCAGAGTAGATTTAGTACCATTTGATTTCCACCCCGCCCCCAAATCGAAGGGACGGTGCTTATCTGTTTGTCTCAAGAAATGGAAAAGACTGTCAGGATCTGGTTCAAGAGACAAAAGTCAAAAGACAAAAGACAAAAGGGTTTAGTTCCTTTTTTTAAAGCAGCTTGTCCCATTGGGTGGCAGAAGTATGCAGCAAATGGTAGTCATTGCAGGAAGAAATAAATACTGATAACAAAGGATTCATTTCAAGAATAATTTGTCTGTTTTATTAATTACAGTATCACTAATTAAATTAAAATCGTGAAAGCAGAGACATTGCTTTTCATTAACCTTCATATATTACTTTTAAAAAAATGTTTGAGGGCAGGCAGGGTGCCTAGAAGTAACTCTTGTTAAATTATCTTTGTGTGTTTTTCCTTACAAATAACAGAATTTCAAACAATTAAACAGTTTTTTAAAGTGCCCAAAACATGGTTTGTTCAGATGCAGAAAAGGATACTGTCCATGATATCCACCCATCATTCATCTTTTTCAGATGACTGTACTAATGGAGCATATTTGGAAGTGCTCAAGGTTCTGTGAAACTGACCTGGAATTTAAGGATTTGTCTCTGCTTCTTTTCTTAAGGCTTTGAGTGAAAGTTCGTATCCAAGGAATGTGGCAGCACTTACAGGGAATCCTCGCACTGTATTCACGGTAAGACCTCTGAAAAAGACCTGATTATAAGAAAAAGAAAGAAAATGTTGTGTCTGTCAGATATTTTTTGAAGAAATTATTTGAGCAGGAAAGAAAAATCAGATATCGAGAAATGTGTATTTTCTCGTCATTATTTTACAAGAAACACAAAGAGTAGGCTCAGCTAAATGATTTCCTACAAGTTTCTGCATTGTATGCATTAACATTAATCCCTGTCCTTTTAACATCCAATATTACAATTACAAGATGAAAATATGCAACCTATGATCCTACATGCAGAATACAATGAGAGCCAGTTGATAGATTCTATGTAGTGGAACTACATCAGGATCAAAGATTCCCAAACAAGGTTTCCAATTGCTCAAATACTCAAGGATCTGAAAATACTGTGGATACATGACTATTTGCCAGTACTGAATATGGGAATGCAAGCTTGATGGTACCTTTCTATATTCACCTATACTTTCCCTTTATTAACTCTGCAATAAATGTGTTCTTCTAGGCTTCCATTTTTTTTCAATATTGGGCAGTCCAAGGCTGTTGTCTTCAGGCTTAGAAATTGTTGTCAGAGCAGTATTCAGATTTCATAAAGTTCAGTCTCCATAAAGAATTTTCCTTATCAATATTCTGTCCCATTTCAGGATTAGCTTCAGAACTTATGTGAGATGTAGAATCCATTTGTTTCTGCTTTGGTTCCAGTTTATTACAGTAAATCTGTACAAATCAAAAATCACTGTAACACTACATTGTCTGCAGACCTTGTACTCTGGTTTTCCAATGGTGTGAATTGTTGCTATAACCTATTTCTCAGGTACTGGCTCAAGCTAGCCTTACTTTTTTCCCTCTTTCTCTCTTTTCCCCTTGTACGGTAATTCAGCATCCTAAACCTCATGTTATTGTTAGCATGTATTTCTTCTTTTATTCCCAGAAATATAGTAAATCCATCTGATATAGTAACATAAACCCATAGTCCTAATTATTTGGAAAAGAGTTGGTTACAAAATTACTGTTACAGTAACATTTCATTTCACAACTCACAGTTTTTTTATGTAAAAGAGGAAATGTGGGAAGCTTTGGAACATTTCTGGGAAGCTTTGGAACATTTCAGTGTTTCTAAAAATGTGAATAATTGTTTCTCATATCAGACCTATTATAGTACATTTCCCATTTGTTTACAAGTGTGTGTGTGTACACATATACCACCTTTGAGAGAAACAAATAAGCATTCTGGGCTTAAAAGTAGAGGTGCAACAATGCATAAAACTGAAATATTTTAACATATATAAAAAGTTGGTTTCAGAACTCACATGGAGACTTTGTAGAATTGAAAGAAGATTAGTTATGGAGACATTGACTAGATAGCTCAATAGTGACATCAAGGTGAAAAGTCCTTCTTCAAGAGACCTTTTTGAAGATGGTAGTGGTGACAACTTTTTCAGTTACAACATTCTGATTATGAAATACTCTCTCTAGAAAGAACCAGTGCACATCTAATAATGCTATTCCAGCATCAATGAAATCTGTCCAGAAACTTTAATATAACATTCATGTTATTGTTAGCATGTATTTCTGCTTTATACATTATTTTATAATATTTTTATTGTTTAGATAACTAACTTGGTTTTAAATTGAAGCTGATGACTGTGTGATCCTGGTGCATAGTTGATGAAAAACAAATTCTCAGGTGCTGCCTTTCTCTTTGACCTAACTATCAGCCTGAACAAGACAAAAGTATTTTACCAGACTGTGGCACATATTAACCCCATGGTCCATGCAAGCATTACAAAGATGCCGTGCGTAAAAGATACCCTATGCCACTGTGACATTCCGCCAAAGGAGCTAGAAGCGCTGACTGCTGACAGAACCCACTGGCAAGGCCTATGCTATGAAGCCTCCACTGGCTTTGAAGTTAGGCACTGCCTAAAACTGATATAAAAAAGGGGGGGCACGCAGCATCACAGAATATCACCCACAGTTATTATAACAATGGCCTTCTAGTGTCCCCGTTTTGCTATAGATTCTGTGCTTTCAGACTTACTGCAAAACCACTTCTGTTCACAGATGAATTGCACAATAGAATGTCACCTTTGAACCCAAAGAATATGTGTGTATTCATATCCTATTTATCTACAGATCAGAATAGCTAAATTAATTTCCAGCAAAAAGTAATCAATTGCCTTTCCTTTTATATATCAACAGATTTAACGTTGTGATATTTGATAGTAATATATGGAAAGAGTAGTTCTAAGTAAAAGAGTTGCATAAATATTATGCAATACTTTAATATTGTAAAAATGCAAAAGAGATGGCTGATTTTTGTTCTATAGGCTATCACTACTGTAATTTGATTGACCCCACACCCATAATGCTTCCCTCCATAGATGCAAGTAAACTCTTTCCTATTTTCCTGCCCTGGTTATGTTCATATAATGTTCTCATGAATAGAATTGCAAACAGCCTAAAACAGATTGAATTTTTTTCCTTGGCATTAGTGTTTGGAGGAAAAATGTTTGCTGATCTAATTCCAAATAAATGGGAGGGGAATTGCCCATACCTAATTACTGATTAAAAAATGAAAGGGAAAGCAGAATATATCAGCAATTATTTGCTCAGGTTTTTCTCTAAAATATCCTTTAGATTAGGGTTGGGTGTTTTTAGGGATGAGAGTCACAACAACACAAGCTGAGCGAAGAGAAGAATTTGATCACAGATGTGAAGGAGGCCAAGTTTTTTTTGGGGGGGGGAGGTGGAATGTTTGAAAGGGAGTTACAGGTCAGGAGAGTTGTTTTAGTCATTCACTTTTTAAAAAATATATATATATTTAGGGCCTGCTTTCTAGAGTTTCTTGTTTTTGGGGGGAGTTGTGTGCATGTATGTGTGCAGGAGCTAATTTACTGCCTCAAAATTGTAAGAAGCAATGTCTTCATGTTTCTGATTTTCAGTAGAGACTAATTATCAAAAGGTTGTGAGGTCCTAAGGGCATAAGGGAAGTGAAATGAAGATAAAAAAGAGAAGCAGTTACCCTCAGGACAGAGCAAGTATAAATCAGATGTAGACATAATATTAGAAATAACTCTGTAAACCACATCATAAATATTGTTGCTGTGACTTGTTTGATGAATCACTGTAACCAAAATATGAGCCAGAAAGCAATGTTTTGCCCTCAAAAAGGTTCAGATTAAAACCACGATGCTACAAAGGGTAAGATTAGCACTTTTGTCTTCCATATACAAAGCTGGTCACCTGTTTTCTCTCTCTCCTTCCCTCCCTCCCTCTCTCTCCCTCTCCTGTGGGAATTGAGGAAGAGGGCAGCTGTATTTTCAAGTACATACCAATTTTACTCAACTTGGTGATTTCCCCTACTTAGAATTCCAAAATAAGCATGCTGAAAAGGATTTCTAGAATCCAAATATCTGGTATGTCTTTGAATGGTCAAGATCATCCATCCATCCATCCAAAATTAAACTTAACTTTTTCAAGGCCATTGACTGCCAAACAAGTACAATCATGTTATTTTAGACAATCTATCATATTCCATGTTAGGATTTGTCTAGCAGGGAAATGGCATTCTTCTACCAAGAACAAGATTAAACAATCTTGTGAATGCCTGTGGCAGTGAGAAACTGGCTTTGGAAATGCCCATGGAGATACAACAGCAAGATTTGATATACGTAAATTGATACAACGTGATGACTGAGACAAACATTGAGGCTTTCAATGTAAATAAATTCATACTGTTACTGTTGAACCAACTACTATGCCTGGCGAAAAATAAGTGTGGAGTGTAACAGTATAAATGTCTGACCTGTATTTTGAATTATAAATGGGTTCATAGCAAGATTGAATAGATGGAGCAGGATTGAAAATACAAGAATAACTTTTTGAAAAATAAGTCAATTTATTAAGTTTTTGGATTGTAAGACCATAACTCCATTGATAGATAGTACAAGGTCTTGCCAAGTGATGCTATCAGCAGAATAGAAATCTTGGATTTGCAGATTATTTACAATACCATGGTTGAATGTATACAAAATGAGGCACTTCCTCAAACAGAAAACCTAATTTATGAATTTCATAAAAAAGAAAATTGGAATATTTAGGACACATATACAATGAGAAATATCAACTACTTCTAATTACAGAAGGGAAAAAAGCAGGAGAAGATGATACTGGAAAATGATATGCATCCTAAAAGAAAAGTCTTATTTTTATATTTGGACAAAAAAAGAGAGTTTTATTTCTGTTAGTAAGTTCAAAAGACAAAGAGAATTATGATCACTATATTCCAGTGCTTTTCTTCAAACACATAGTCATCAGACTTTTCCATTTGCCCAATAGAGTTGTGTGAAGCTTTGAAAGGGTGTTTTGCTTCAATAAAGGGTTGTGCACTTCATGTTTTGGAAGTTGCTTCCCAAAGCAACCCCCTGACCTACTTTCAGTATTCCTTGGGGTTGCTGGGAGAGGATTCAGAGTGATGCATTCTATTCTTGATGAGAATTGTGTTATTTTGTGATACCAACTATCTCATTGAACCATAATGCTCAAAATACTGGTGGCTGTTTTATAGGAGGAAGATCTCTAATGGACCATTCCCCCACCCCTCATTGCTATACCCGAGTTTGTGAGCTGATATATGAAATTGCATGAAGTCTTCCGCTAACTAAGATGACTTTCTTGAGCCTTCCAGGAATTATCCCAACATAGCAGGAGGACTGAATTGAAACCATTGATCTATTACCAGTAACATGTTGTAAGACAAAAAGAGGGAATCCAGAAGAGTAAAAACACGTGAGACATCCCTATTGATTTACTTTTAGTTGCTTATATTTTTGTTGCCACCTTCAAAATTCATATATTGTTATGAGCCAGAATTCAGAGTCTGAACTTGACTCTGGAGATGTTACTCCAGCTGAGCCTATGCTTCAGAATTGTCAGCCTGAAGAATCAATAAGTCAGGATTCAATTGAGCCTGATCACTCACAGGCATCTCCTGTTCAACTGCACCAATCCAATGATGAGGCATAAGCCCAGGTGTTGGTACATAAAGAAGCAAGCAAAGCTGTTTTCCTCAATGAGACTTCTCGTGAAACAAAGAGCAAGGCATGAGTAATTGTAGCCAGTGCTGCAGATAGATTTAGTTAGCTTCTGTGCTTGAGTCCTTCTTGTAAACAATTTGTCTGTCTAGCTCTTGAATTGTGTTCTTGCTTCTTGTTTGTGGCTCTTAATCCTTGGACCACCTGACTGCTGATTTGGAGTCCTGTGACTTGGAATCTCTATGGACAACTCTATTGCTTCTTGAGCTATGTTCAGTTTCCTTCAGGCAAGCATTTTATACTAAGCGCTTCAATCACATTCCTGTTATTATCTTCCTAAAGTGAAGTAAGTATTCTTCTAAAGTGCTGTGTTTGTTTGTGTGTCAGCGACCTTGAAATATATTTTTGCTTGAGGTGCAGCAATTGAACAAATCAATTGAGTAACATGGTGTGATAGTACTGCTTCAAATGAGATAATGAATGAGACTCCTTGGTGGTGCTGATTCCATTTAGCTATTTTGGTCTCATAGCTGCTGTTAGGCCTATCCTACAGGTTCTGCTATAGTTATATATCTCTTTTTGAAATGACTAAATTTATGTCCTCCAGTTCTATGCATGTGATCATCAAGGCAGCTTACAATAAAAGGTTTAAATATAAACTAGAAAAACATTAATAAAATTAAAGCCATATAAAGTATATTTAAATTACCCTTTAAAAACAACTGTGAAAATGGCCAGAATTCTAACCCTTATATTTTGACCAGAAATGTTATGGTATGGTTTTACTGAAATTTTCTTGGTATATCTATATTCAGGGATGGGATCCAATTGGTATAATTACTGGTTCTGTCTATTAGCGTCACGCACACATGCATAAGTTGCGTGAGTCATGTGAGTGCAATTTACAACCTTCTGAGCTGCCTGGACAGCTGAGCAGCACTGTGTGCAAGTGTGCAGTGGTTGGAAAAGCCCTTTTTTCCTGCTTTTTCAACTGCAGCTGTGTCGCATAAAGCAGCTACAGTTGACAAAGCAGGAAATAAAGGTCAGGTAAATGCCAGATGGGCCACAACAGCAGCAGACATAGAACCAGTTCTATGTCTGCTGCTCTTCGGAGCAACCGATTCTACAGAGGTGGACAGAACCGGTAGAAACCAGCCCCTGTCTATATTTATCAATATCCCTTGGTGAGTTGGAAGGTAAAGGAATCAGATTAATGAAAGCAGCATTTTTATATCACCTTTTTCTACTTAATATTCATGCATGCCTAAAGCTTACGGTGTGATGTTGCTTTTGTCATTCCGATCCTACTTGCTTTTCCACTTCCCATGGATAATTTATTCATATTAAATTTGTTACGGTTAGTGCTTACTTTTAAACCTTCACTGTTGTAACTTTGATAAATACAGTCAATGACTCCTTTGTATTTGTTTAAGTAAACTCCATCTGCTTGGAGACGACATTTCACAACATCCATAGGAGTTGCTGTTCCCCAAGATATGATTCCTAGGGAGAAATTGGTAGACGTTAGTCATTAAATAAGACAATACATTTTGAATTCATTTAGGAAACTGAGTATCTTTTGGGATGAAGGAATTGGAGAAATTCTTAAAAATCAGGCATAGGAGATTTGTAAAAGCAAAATGTTTTGGTTTTGAAGCATTTTTGCTAAGGCGGAGAAAGAGTGGCGGAAAGTTATTATAGGTAATCCTTGGTTAATGGTTAACAACCATTCAAAGTTATAATGGCAATGAAAAAGTTACTTTACAACAACCATCTCAGCATCCCCATGGTCATGTGATCATCATTTGGGCACCTCACAATTGATGGGCACTTTTTCAATCATTGTAGTGACCCTCAGTGGTGTGATCACTATTTGCATGCTTCATAGCTGGATTTTGTCAATCAATGGAGAACCTGGCAATAAAATTGCAAGTTGCAATTGTATGATAGTAGATGACACATTTAATGACTGCAGAGTAGAGAGGTCATTAGTCCATCAAGGTCACCATTAATGACTTGCTGATTTGAAATATTCCTGCCATCAGTGTGCCCCGGCACTATGCTAGAACTATGTAAATTTATGTTTTTATTACAGTTTTCAATGTTTTAAAATTTAAATTAATATTTCCCTTTTAGTTCCTGCATTTCTGACAGGAGATGAGATGAGTCCATCATAGTGAAGTGATGTTTTTGCTTACTGATTACATCATTTAGCTATCAAATTGATAGTCCCAATTGTGATCAATAAGCAAATGATGAAAATTTGGACACTTAACAGTTGCAGTATTCTGGGGTCATGTGATCACCTGTTGTGACCATCTGACAAGCAAAGTCAATGGGATAGCTAGATTCACTTAACATGTATTTTACTAACTTAACTGCAGTGGTTCCCTTAACAACTATGGCAAGCAAAATTGTAAAATGGGACAAAACTCACTTAATACCTGTCTTGCTTAGCAACAGAAATTTTAGGGTCAATTGTGATTGTAAGTTGAGGACTACCTATAAAGGTTATACATTCAAAATAAATAAGTAGCAGTCAAATTATGGTATAATCTTAGAATTTCGCATACCTCAAACACAATTGCCTCAGAGTTTCAGATAAATGGATTGTACATTATAGGTTAACCTATGTTTTGCACATTGCTCTATGTCCGTGAATGTTTTTACAGAGCACTGGCTTAGAGGAATGTAGTTAGGTTGTGCTACTCTTGTGAAATGTTGGAAAAATCTATTTCATGTTAACCAATAACTGGCTTTCCTTTTATGTGAGCCAATGCCAAGGTTTGAAAATAATTGGACAGGTTAAATACTGACTTCAGTGGAACTCCTATCGATCATTGAAAGTAAATCAGCAAACACAGTAAGAGAGAGGGGTAGTCAAATAATTTCATATTATTTTATAAATTAGTAGACCAACCTGCAATGGCACATATCAGAAATTACCATCCCTCAATGGAAATTGTTACGTGAGAAAAAAAAAACATTAAAAGTCTGTGATTTTCCCCATTTCTGTATTTAAAAAAATAGCCAATCATTAAAAAATAATTTTTAAAATATCTCAGGGATACTTCTTCCCCTTTTCTAGTAAAAGAAAAATAGATCTAATTATGTATTTTAACAGTTCATCAACACATGATCCACAATATCAACTTCCCCTTGACTACAAAGGGATCAGGGACAAAGGGATCTTCTGGTGTATTCTAGAACCTTCCATTCAGAAAAGAGAAAGGAGGACATTACAGGATGTAAGAATAGAAACTCTTCTGTGTTTTAGGGGATAATACTGTATAGACATTCTTCAATTTATAAATGGGTTACATTCCGAGAAGCTGTTTATAAGTTCATATTAAAAACTGAAACTTGGGTCTTTTTTTCCCCAAAATCCTGTGGTTGAAAAGAAAATATAAGTAGGTTCTCCTTTTTAAAATGAAGAATATTGTGCATAAATTGCAGCAAAATGGAGCAAAGCTTATGGATGCTGAGGCATTAAAACAAGGAGATAAGAAGAAAAACAGAAGGGTGAAAAGATACTTTTTCCATTTCTGTCTGAATGACCAATTCAAAATAAAACACTTAAGAAGAAACTTCACTGAAAGCATCTGGTGCTGCATGGAGCAATCCAGGCCTTGAAAAATTTTTTTAAATAAATTTACATGTTTAACAAGTGCAGTGCTGCCTGCCCTCTGAAAAAATGAACTAAAAATAGTATGTCATGTAAAACCTGCCATTCTCACATCCCTTCTATTTCTGAAGAAGGTCAGAGGATTGTTTCTTCATATCCTTTTCTTTTTCACTTTAAAATTGTGACTCTTCCCACACAACATTTAAGGGGATTTGGAGAAAAAGGAAAGCTTGCAGTGACTCTTAGTGGTGATATATTACTATAATTTGAAGAAGAAGAAAAGGGGGGAAATGATTTTCAAAGATATGGAGAACCCTTTCCAAAACCAGTCTTCCAAAATAAGTGACAATTTTTGGCAGTCCTTGATTTTATGAATGAATGCACCCGTATTCATACATACATTCATACATACATAATGCTATGCGAAGAGCTTTAAATAATACTTTATTTTTTTCTAGTTTAACATGCTAGCCTATATAGCCAGTGCGTTTATTTATCATTCCAATGCAAAAGCAAACCAACCATATTAAGGCCCAATATCAGGATGTGAACCCAGGCAAATAACATACGGAGTGACAGGTTCTGACCAGTTCTGGAGAACCAGTAGCGGAAATTTTAATAGTTCTGACAACCAGTAGTGGAAATGTTGAGTAGTTTGGAATACCACCTCTGACTGGCACTGCCCCATCTATTCTCTGCCCCCTGAGTCCCAGCTGATCAACTGGGTCTTCTTTTGTTGCCCTGCACAGGAGAAAAGAGCTGGAAAGTGGGGTGGATTTTACAGTATCCTTCCCCTGCCACGCCCACAAAGCTATGCCCACAGAACCGGTAGTAAAAATCTTTGAATCCCACCACTGGATAAGTTCATACCTGCAATGCCACCAGCCATCCATGCAGCAAAGGGAGTGGGAGAAAGACATTCGTCTGAAGTGATCCAGACAGAAACCAATGCGTAAGGGATAAAGTAGAGGCAGTATCCTGGGACGTCCCTCAGAAGCATGGCGGTCGTACCTCGAAAGAGGCCTGGCAAACCTTCCTGCTGAAGAATTGTAGCGACACAGTGAATTGGACCTCGGTAGGCAGCCTGTACTGAGATGCCAGTTGCTTTATGCTTCATTTCCAGGTTGGCTAGAGAAGAAGTAAAAGGGAGATTTCAAGATCAGATACAAATAATTCATCAAAGATTTGCTATGTATATTGGCTTAGGGGGAAGAGAGTGGATTTGTTTGGATTTCTTCTTTCCTATTGCTTTTCTTTTTCTGCCTAAGACCCATGGAGACAAAAGCACTTTCATACTACCACTTTATAATACCTGAAAGCTGGTTTGCTTATTTATTTACTTACTTGTTTATCTAGTCACTTATCTCATATAATTATTCTAAGCAGCTCACAACAATCTATATAAACAAGGATGAAAACTTAAGTACCCTTCTTCCCAGGGCCAGACCAACTAGGCTTCTAGCTCAAATCTCATCCTAGCATCCTTGGGTTGTGGGTGGGAAGGGAAGATGCCTGGTCTTTACAGCCTACCAAAAACCTAAAAGGGTAGGGATACTTCCACAAGAAGGCAGGCCATGCCAAATGGGTGGAATGGCCAGCGGCTACACAGCAAATTATATACCCTTGCTAGATCTAGGTTCACTAGTATGGTGTCACCAGAAATCAGAAAAATGAAAATGATTCATGGAATTCAAACACCCACATTTCATCTTTTCATCTCTTTCATTTGATTTAGAACTGCTTTTAACTAAACAATTTCCTTTTGACTTTATGGATCAGTTGTACCCGTGCAAGTGATGATGCTATGTTTGTTTTTTCCATGTCTGTTTCTCTCATGCTTTATTTGGTTACTTTCCAAAGAAATCTGGTTGTGATCTCTGTGAAAAATGATGCTAGCCTATTGACCTGGACATGAACCATCAACATTTGTGTTGTACAATGCTATTGGTGGCTCATATTATTAAAAAAAGGGTGAATATTTTTAAATAAAGGTCAATAAAACTTTTTTTTATAAATGATAGGTGATTTTAACCCAGTATGGAAATATTCATACTGAATGAACAACTGTTACTGTATTGCAACTGTGTTTTATGAGATAAAGGTTTATTTAATAAGATCAGCAATACTGTTTATATACTGAGGGTTGCTGAAGTCAATTCTTTCAGAGATAGTTGTATTATTGCTTTATAGGAATAATTATATGGATTAATCAAGTGCAGAACAAAGTAAGGTTGCATTAAAAAGATGGCGCATGTTTTGTGATATTAGGATGCAAATTCTGCTCATACAGACTTGTGTCCTGCCATTGGATAGAAATATATAAGTTTTGGATTTGCTATCCTGATGTCATGACATGTTACATCCTATCCTATCCTATCATTATATTATACATAATTGGTATGAGACAAGAGTAGTGTGGTGGCCTAGTGGGGAAGATGGCCTAGCCTCCCATTCAGAAAGTTGAGAGTTCACTCTAGGTAGGGCAGATGTTTCTCTCCTAGGACACAAAGAAAAAATGTCTGCTGAGAACTCCGCATGAGATCAGGAAGGGCATCTGGCCAGTAAATGCTCAGCTCCAACCACTTGCCCTGATTCTACCCTAAATGTAGGAATTCCAGGCTGGTAAAAAGGAAGATTTTTTTAAACTGGTATGATAAACAGCAAAGGTACATTCCGGACTTACCCTTAGGAAAAGTCTGTGTCTGCATCTGTAGCCTTATTTTTACTAGGTCAACTGGGCAACCAATTCCTACTGAGAAAGCCCCAGTCACCATGCTTGCTAAAGTTATATCTGTAAGTGCAGGAGGATGGTAAGGTTTCCCATAACGATATTGGCAAATAAACCTTTGAGTACTGCTGAAGACACCAAATACCAATGAATTATAAGCAGCAATGCTGATTAATGGGAAAGACATTCCCTTAAAAAAACCAGTAACCTGCAAGAAAAGTAAAATAAGATGTGAATACGGCTCCACTGGAGTTGGGCAGCCAATAACTTTTAAATAAATAACATTTGTTTCATTGCCTCTTTAAGATCGAAATGACAGCTTTTTAATAGGTTTTTTTGCTGGAAAATTTGTATTCCACATATATTTTTAGTTTTTAAAAATCTTATCTGTATTCTCATTAAGATTTTAAATTAGCAAATTAGAGGACACTCTGAAGGGCACAAAACATATAAAATCTAAGAACTGAATATTGCTAATGACAGATGTTAGATAAATTTTGCAGTCAATGCACTTTAACAATGTAAGAGAGTTGATTAATTACAGTTCTTCCCTCATTTAAAACAGAAGGTGTTGTTTACAGTAAAATAGAAAAAAGTAATTTAATAAATATACATAGTTAGACATGAAATTTATTTCTAAAGGTAAACATGTAAAAAGATCTTGAAGGGATTAATTGAGAACTGGCGGAACTGCACAGAACTGGCAGACAGCACTGAGTTAGTTTCTATCATCATCATCATATAACAACCCCATAATCCCTTGAGAGTTAGGAGTGGAGTCTGAACAACTGAATGGAGCTAGCAGAGTGTTTTAATGGCCAGATACCCTTCCTGTCCCCAATGCAGAGTTTTGTTAACTGAGTTAGTTTCTATATCTAGCAGAAATAGGTAGCCTATGAGTGTTGCGTAAGAAATTCTGCTTTGGTCTGCTCCATTGTCAACAGGCTGGAGTTAATAGGAACAAAAGGTATGTGGAAAATTGATGAAATATAGAAAAGTATAATGAATTAATTTACTGTGAGGTACACATAGGAACAACATAGAGGATATTAGAAACAGATTTCTTGGATTCTAGTAAAAAGGCAGATTATGTAGTTACTAGAGAACTTCTGGTTTTCATCCAGACATCCCCTAATTATATTGGGGAATACATTGTATTGAGGAATTATATATTAACTAGTTAATCAATGAAGAGCTTATCTAAGAATTTCCCTAACATAATTAATTTTATGACAAAGCAGATGTTGGTATGAACATATGTTTTTGTGTAAGGTTTCCATAAAAGCATTGATGTACTTAGAAAGAGGTGCTGAGGGCTAGAAACTATAGCGTTTTCAACAACAGAGGAGGGGAAAATGTACATGTTCCTAATTGTCCATGTTGATTGCTTTGTATTGGGAACGAATGCTCAACAGAATGAGACGAGGCGGCTAAATTGGTTGCTCAGGCTTTATTGAATTTGCATGCTAACAGCAAATAAACCACTCAGCCGTGAGGCAACAGCTGTTGGCCTGTTTGACAGCTCCTTATATAGTTGGCTGTCAAATTATCGGCCAAAAAGGTTGCGGCTGGGCACCCCCTTCTGGAAACTGGACCAGAGGGGGAACTTCAGAACATAGCACTCCTTCCCACCTCAACAGTGCATACGTAGTCTTCGAGGTAGGCCGGATGGTGCCAGATCCTAGTTGATCTGCACAGCAATGGCTCGTTGGACGTGGCAGGAACCTCCTTGGCTGGAACCTCTTCGATCGGAACCTCCGACTGCTGCAGTTGACCTCTGCTGGTGATTCCTCGACCCATGGCCTCTCTGGCGAGTGTGGCTGCTGGCGTTGTTGGTGTAGATGCTCTTGTGTCGGTTCCTGAGAACTCATAGTTCTCTCTAGTTAATACAGCTCCTGGCCTCAGGTTCCCTCGCCCCCTTAGTTGATTAATGTGATGCCTCCAGGTCTGGCGATCCTCTAACTTCACAATGTACGAACATGCCCCAGTTATGCTAATTATGGACACTGGTAGCCACAGGGTATTACCAGTGTAATTCCTAGCAAATACCTGGTCCCCCACATCAAGCTCCCTGGTGTTGCTATGCGAGGGAACTTGTCTGGTGTATAGGCAGGATGCAGCCTATCTAAGATTGTCCTAAGTCTTCGACCCATTAATAATTCTGTTGGGCTATGATTTGTGGATGGACATGGGTAGAATGCTGAATTAGCAGATACTTGGATACTCTGGTTGGCCATGGCCCTGGGCCCATCTTTGCTAGAGCCTCTTTTGCAGAACTTACCCCTCGTTCTGCTATACTACTACTAGTGGGATTGAAAGGAGCAATTAAAGTATGTCATATGCCTAAACCAATGAGAAACAGCTCAAAACTTCTTGAAGTAAATTGTGGCCCGTTATCTCATACAATTAGATCAGGAAGACCATGGGTGGCGAACACCTTTTGTAAAGCCAAGCTAACAGCTTCGGATGTTGTGGGGGTCATTAAAACTATCTCAACCCACTTGGAGAAAGCATCTAAGATGAGAAAGGTCTGGCCTTGGAAGGGCCCTGTGAAATCAATGTGCAGGCATGACCATGGATCTCTGGGGCCTTCCCACTCTCTTACTGGGCCTTTTGGGGGTAATGGCCTAGTTTCCTGACACTGCTGACACCCATTCAGTTATTGCTTGATCCATCCCTGGCCATCACACATAACTTCAGCCTAAGGACTTCATACGAACTATGCCCGGGTGACCCTTGTGGAGTGCCTCCAGTATGTGCTTTTGTAAGGATGAGGGAATTACCACTCTGCTCCCCCATAGTAAACAACCCTTGCTGCAAAACAGCTCCTGTTGCCTTATTTTGAAAGGATGACAATCAGCAGGCACAGACCCTTGTGGCCATCCCCTCTTCACCCAGTCCAGAATTTGCCTTAAGAGTCTGTCTTTAGCTGAATGGGCAGCAATGTCTGCAGCGGTCAATAGGAAGTTCTGGTGATGGTCAATGAGGAGGATGGATTCCTCAGCCTCCTGGTCCTCTGATGCAGCTGGAATCAGGCACCTGCTGAGGGCATCAGCATGGCTGAGGTTTTTGCCCGGGTGATATGTCAGTGTGTATGAGTATGCTGCCAAAAAAAAACCCCACCTTGTCATTCGAGTGGAGAGTATTTGAGGAGTCTGTTTATCCCCAGCGAATAAGCCTAATAAGGGCTTATGATCCATGATAAGTTCAAACTTATGTCCATAAACAGACTCGTGGAAATGTTTAATGCCAGTAATGGCAGCAAGGGCCTTACAATCTATTTTGCTGTAATTGCGTTCCGCTGGAGATAGGGTCCTAGAAAAGAACACTATAGGGGCCTCAGAGCCATTAGGCAGTCTGTGACTCAACACCGCCCCTCCTCCATATGGAGAAGCATCGCATGCCAACACTAATGGTAAAAATTTGTTGAACTGTATGAGAACAGAGTCTGAAGTTAACAAGTCCTTCACAGTCTTAAAAGAGCTAGCCTCTTTCTTGCCCCAAACCCAAGGAGATTTTTTGTCTAAAAGTCTGTATAGGGGTTCAGCTACTGGTGCCTTGTGAGGAATGAAAATGGCGTAGAAATTCAGGAGGCCTAGGAAAGCCTGCAGTTCAGTTTTGTTGTTTGGAGTGGGAGCGTTTTTTATGGCCTGGACCTTAGCTGTCATGGGATGAATTCCAGCAGCATCGATCAGGAACCCCAGGAACTCCACCTTAGGTACACCCAAATGGCACTTGCTTTTTTTTAGTTTCAAACCTCTTGCCTGGAATCTCTTAAAAACTTCCCTTAGGCTGTTTAAAAGTGCCTTTTCATCTCTAGCTGACACAATAATGTCGTCAAAGTATGGAACGACTCCAGGGATACCTTGTAAGAGTCGTTCCATTAGAGACTGGAATATCTCTAGTGGCAGCACTAATGCCAAATTGTAGCCTATTGCATCTAAATGCCTCTATATGTGTTACTATAGTTTGGGCTTCTGCGATGGCTGAGTCCACAGGCAGCTGTTGATATGCTTGAACCATGTCAAGCTATGCAAAATAAATTCCGTTACCCAGTGAATGCAATAGATGTTGCACCACAGGCACTGGTTATGTGCTTTGCTGTAATGCCAAATTCAGGGTTGCCTTATATTCTGCGCAGATCCTGACTGATCCGTCAGCCTTGAGTGGCATGACAATTGGGGTCTCCTAGGGAGAGTGATCTATTGGCTCTAATACTCCTTGTGATATAAGCTTATCAAGTTCAGCATCAATTTTTGGGCGGAGTGCGAAAGGCACTCGCCTGGCTTTCAATCTCCTAGGCATAACTGTAGGGTCTAAATGCAGTGAAATAGGCTTCCCTGTATATTTACCTAGGTCATTGTCAAAAACACTAGCAAATTCCTTTGCCAGTGCATCTATGGTGTCAGTGTTTTGACCATTTGTGGTATGCACTCCACTTATGGCCAGACCTAGGGATTCGAACCAGTCAAGGCCCAGTAAGCTCGGCAATGCCCTTTCCACAACTATTAGTGGCCTTTGAATTTTTTGAAAGCTACTGTCACTTTAGTGAGACCCAAAATGGGAATTGTATTCCCTTGATAGTCTCTTAATGTGAGGGAACAGGGTCTTAATCTTTCTTTGCCATTTTGGGCACCAATCTTTTGTTTGTGCTCCAACTGACCAATGACAAGAAGATCCTGTGTCAACCTCCATTTGACAATCCTGACCCTCAATTTTCACTGAAAGAAAAAAATATTCTTTAGTGATAAGTTTGTTTGCCCTACTCTGGGGATGATGTGGCAATTATCTCTTTGGATGATGAAACACTCTTCCCCCAACCTAGGAACTTTTCTAGGGGTCCCCTTCATTTGCCCTTGTTTTGCCTGGACTCTGTCATCAGGCAGGATAGCTCTGCACTTCCTAGCTAAATGGCCTCTCTTCCCGCAGCACTGACAGTTTGCAATTCTAAATCTGCAGGCTGCTCATGGCTGGTTACCTCCACACCCTATGCAGGATTGTGCCTGGGCTGTTTTTGTGGATTGCCAATTATTACTGACGCAATCTTCAGCTGGTGGATGTCATCATCCCCTGGTAGATCGATGTCTTCCTCTGTAGCCTTTTTTGGTAGACAGCTAAGGTTTTTCTTCCCAAAGCTGGGCTGCTCGTGCCATGAATCCCTACCATTGACTTGTTGGATAGCTCCGCAGCTCAGGCTTCGTCCAATGCTGATTGTAGCGATAGGTCAGACTTTGCTAGTAGTCTGCGCTGGATTTGGAGGTCTCTTAACCCACAGACTAACCAATCCAGCAAGGCATCATCCAGCTCATTGAACTCGCAATTGAGAGCAGCTGTTCGGAGACCCGCCATAAATTGATTAACAGTTTCCCCCTCAGTTTGCTTGCACCAGTGAAATGCGTGCCTTTGGGCAATTTGTGAGGGAGTGGGAGAGTAATGGTTCTTAAGCTTTGCCATTAATGCCTCCCAGGTGACAGAATTCAGGGACTGAGGTGCTAACAGAGCTCTGGCTGTGTCAAACATTCGTTTGCCACAGAAATTTAGAAACAGCGCCGTTCGCTGGTTGCCTGTCAAATCCACCAGATCGTTTGCCTCTAGGAAACAGTCAAAGCACTCAATATATGACTCCCAAGTCTCTGTGGATGCATCAAATGGAGCAAATGAATTTAATGCTGCCATTCTGAACAGATTCACAGAACCCTTGATCCTTAGGCAGGTGGCTGGTGGACTTTATCGAGCTCCCTCAGCGTGACTTTGCTCTTATTGTATGCCCTTCTGGCTTGTTTGGCTCTCTCTGCCACAGTGATCAGCTCTTTTGGTTGCCCCACAGGAAGACTTCAAGCTCGCCTAATGCCTTGAGGGTGGACATCCCACCTTCGTCACCAGTGCTTTGTATTGGGAATGAATGCACAACAGAATGAGGTGAGGCGGCTAAATTGGTTGCTTAGGCTTTATTGAATTCGCGCGCTAACAGCGAATAAACCACTCAGCTGTGAGGCAACAGCTGTTGGCCTATTTGACAGATCCTTGTATAGTCGACTGTCAAACTATTGGCCAATCAGGTTGCGGCTAGGCGCCCCCTGCTGGAAACCGGACCAGAGGGGGAAACTTCAGAACATAGCATTGATGATCTTTACACAATCACTGACTACCCTTTTGTACTATATGGCAGCATCATTTATGCTCTTGCACTTCTCTGACTTTCCTTTTTCTCTTCATCAGTTGTGCCTTCTTCTGAAGAGATCCAGAAGAAAGGAAGTGGATGGGAAAAAGAAGGGGAAAAATACATATGCTTATCTCTATATACAGTACATTCTGGCATTACAAATATTATCTGTTAGAAATATATAGGTATTAAAACTGGAAAGCATGAAAACAGACTTCTGTTAATTTTGTTAAGCACCAGGAATTCTTACTTGAAATGTTAGCAGATCTTTCTGAATTCTTTTTGTAATTCTTTTTGTAGTACTCCAGAAATCAGATTCTTTGACATTCTTGTTGAAGGTCACTGTCAACCTCTTGGCAATCCACTTTCATAGAAAGCAAGATTCTCCCAGAGTTTCTTTTAATAAGATTTATTGAAAGAGAACAGAACAAGGTTACAGAGATCTCAGCTACTGGATTGCTTTACCTTAAAATCTAATTTATAGTCACCTAGTTAAAATAGTCTTCAGTCTTTTATTAACAGCAAAAAAATCTGTATAAATTGTCAAGGAGGGTATGATCTTAATTGACAAGAGAATATCCCACTGGCCAGAATGTCACCTTATCTTAGATTCTGAATATACTATTATAGGCATATTCTAAGATGACAGGGAAATACTCAGAGTAGAGAACTACACAAATAATATTGTTTGAAAAAGTTTTGATTCTTGGATGTGTTTCTGTTTTTGTGATGAAAAATATTTACCATAAGAAGAATTGTTCCAGGAGTGGGATTCAATTTTTTTAACAACCGGTTCTGTGGGCATGGATTAATTGGTGGGTGTGGCTTGGTGGTCATGTGACTGGCTGGTCATGGTCAATTCAACATTACTCACATTGAGGCATGCATCTCCTCGCTTGGCCTCTCATGACTGTGGGAATGTTGCAGCAGTCAGAAGTGTGAAAAATGGTCATAAGTCACTTTTTTCAGTGCCATTGTAACTTTGAATGGTCACTCCACACAAGCAAAATACCAGCAAAGGAGGGGAAAATAACTCCAGAGAAGTTCCTGAGACAGGAAGTCTAGTCCTGCCAAGAATGTAAAAAGGGTTAACGGAGAGGCAGTTTCTGTAAGCAACACCAGAATGTTTCCTTCCTGCCTTCCTTACAGGAATACCCCAGTAATTTCTTCTAACAACCAGTTCTCCGAACTGCTTAGAATGTTAACAACCGGTTCTAGCGAATAGGTGCGAACCAGTAGAATCCCACCCCTGAATTGTTCCTTACAAGGAGCAGAAAAATGCATTTGGTGTGAATTTTGTGAGCTGATCAAGAGCAATGAAATTTCAAAAACTACCCCAGCATGATTCCAAGTGGTGGAAAATGAAACATGTATGAAACCAGAGTGACAGTGGAAGAACTCCCAAAATGCAAGAAAAATCAACGTAATAAACACACGTGGTTTCCAACATCTCTCCACCCAACTGCATGCAATGTGTTTGAAATAAGACAAATGGTTTATAAATACATCAGTAATAAGTAAAGGAAGATGATAGGATGAGAGGTAGAATTTGAGTGTTGAAATTGAATCCTATAATAGCGTATGAGATATTAAAAAAGAATAGGTCAGTTGGAAAGGAAGGGTTAATGTTATAATGAGATACTGATGTATACACTTAAAAGCATTAATCTAAATATGGAACATTTTGAGAGTGGTTTGTAGTATACCAAAGATCACTAAGAAATGCAAAACGATGCCATATTGAACAAGATTTCCAAACTTTCAGAAAGAATGGCAGTATCAATAATGAAAAGCAGACTGTATCTTTAGAAGTCACTGAGGTATGAATCATGGAATTAGAAGGGGCAATTTAAGGCATCAAGTCCAGCTGCCTCAAATTAAATTCCTGAAGGATGCCTAGCCTCTACTTGAACTCATTCAGTAAAGGGGAGTCCACTTTATTTATAGGAAATTGATTTTATTTCTAAGAATTTATTTTATAGCATTTAATCGGATAATCTATTCCATGTCTTTTGCTCTGAAACAATAGAGATGTTCAGTGTCTTCTATGTCAATTCTTCTAGGTATTCAAAGTGTGTTATTACATCCATCACAATCTTCTCAAGACTGAATGTTCCTAGTTTCTTCCATTACTTTTTCTCAGGACAACTTCTTAGGGAAAAGTTGTTTGTTTACTTTCATTTTTACACTTTTATTTTCCTATGTTTTAATTTTGTTTTGATGAGCTTTTTCTTTTTATTATTGTTTAAGCAGAGAAATATATCTTCCTGTCAATCAATCAATCAATCAATCAATCATATAGTACATACTGAATGTACAATTCCATTCCAGTGAGGAAGAACAAACTGTCTAACATAAAGAAAATCTGATAGCATAAAGATGTAGAACATGTCAGGAGAGTTTCACCTGAGAATAAGCTTAGTTATATGAAATATTCTAAGAGTAAAAGAAAAGGAAAAAAGAATGAAATAGATGCATTTTAATATCGGGTGGGGGGACCAAATATGTATGGACAAGTAATAGTGTTTAAAGTAAAATAAAAGGCTTTGAAGTCCCCTTTTATCAGTAACTCTATCTTTTGCGTAAAATGAAGACAAAAACACAATAGGTACATTGTATGATATTTCTAAACTGGAAAGGGAAATGTTTTATGGATGTTCATGATACAATAAAGGATAAGTTTGTATATTTAACTATTAAACTACAGTGTGTTGAGTTGCATTATGTGGGAAGCTTGACTGTGTTTTGTATATTGTCAAGGATTGTTATTATAGATATCTTCCTATCTGAAGTAAGAAATCATGGATGACAGAATGAATTTATTTGCTGCCCCTGACTTTCAAACGTTAAGAAAGGGTAATTCATCTCAAGTTTATGGTAGAGCAGATTGCTCAGAAAATAGTGAAGATCTTTAGGATGCTCTTCAACTCTATGATAGGTTTTAATTCTTGTTCTAAAATACTAGTTACCCAATAATGAGGAAAAGTTAGGCGCCTTTCAGATGTGACATTATTGCACAGACACATATCACTTAGCAGAGCACTTAGATTATACTGCTTCATAGTGCTCTACAGCCCTCTCTAAGCAGAGTCAGCATATTGCTTCCAACAATCTGGGTCCCCATTTTACCAACCAAGGAAGGATGGAAGTCTGAGTCAATCTTGAGCCCCATCAGGATCTCCAGGCTGTGGGCAGAGTTATCCTGAAGTATTTACATTCTAACCACCGTACCACCACGGCTCCACATACACCATTATTATTAATATCTTTGAGTGGATTCTATCTTCCTTTCATTTCTATTGGCCAAATCTATTGTAACTAGAGCAGGGGAAACCAGAAACCCGAAAAACTGCTTGTACCCAGCAATAGTGGTATGTGGAGGGGAAACATCATATTCTTTTGATTAGATCTAAACACCTGTCTGGGAGAGCCCACAGACTGCACTGCAAAATGCATGCCAGAGTACTTACTGCATGGGTAACAATGTTAGAAGAGAGCTGAGACAACACTGTTCAAAATCCTACTTACCCATACAATAAGTCATAATCTCTCTTAACAGTTGTAATGAAAAGATTGCTTGACTTACTGTATTTCTATACCATCATAGATTAGGCCATAAATGTTTTACTTGATAGACAATATACAAGCAAAATAGCAAATCAGAATTGATTTTAAGTGTTCTTGCTATATAATCTGAGTACTTATGTGCTATCAGTACATAAATTTGTTGATTAAAATATTAATAGGTTAAGTCTTCCATTAAAATAGGGGGATGGTATTAACCCATTTTAGTTGAAGCTTTCTTCAAATCTTTTAAATGACTGTATTCCTGTCATAGATTCAAACAGTTTTGAAATCCCAGCATTAAACATTTGTACAAGTGATACTGGTTTAAAGGAATCTCATTCTCAGTTGAATATTACTTGTCTGGAGACAATGCTTATAAATTAATGCACATCAAAAACTTCCCTTGTTCTTTGTACAGGGTATGTTTCAGACACAAGAGCATACTTACAGCTTCATTTCTATATATAGTGCGGACACAGTTAAATGTGTTTCCATAGCCTTGCCCAGCTTGTAAGCGAGTCTGCAGAAGAATACAATAATAGAATGCAATTACTGAGAGCTCAGATTTAACAAAGAACTCTTGTATTTTACTCCAATCTATGCTTTGTTCCAAAAGTGGAGAAAACAAGAAAATAAAAGAAAAACTTGCATTCTTTCAAGTATCTGCCAAAGATAAAAAGTGTATATAATAGCTTAATATTCACTGTCAGCATACTCTGTAAATGAAAAACAGCAACTCTGAGTATTGTGCAAATGTATTTGATTTATGATTGTCATCTTCCTAAATTATTTATGCACACTTCTGATTCAGAATAATCTGTTCAGCTTTCTTAAATATTATGCTTAAACACGTCTTATGACTGGTAAGTAGCTCTGCAGTTGTTTAGTAAAACAATGTCACTTCTGCAATGTAGAATTTTGTAGAATCTATAGGTTTAGAGAACTCCATGGGTACACTTCTGCATAGAATATCCAGATTAATTACATTTAATTAAATTTTACAGAAACAGCTTTCTTGCAAACATCTGATGGTCTGAAACTATCTAGGTAGTCATCTCTGTATTGGAAAACCAGATCTGGATACTATTTGTCTAAGGACTCCTGCCTTGGGCAGGGGGTTGGACCAAAAGACCTCAAGAACCTTTCCAATGATTCTATGATCCTATACAATTATTCATATTCTATACACATTGCCATCACCTGATAATGGTAAAGGTAAAGGTTCCCCTCATACATACATGCTAGTCGTTTCTGCCTCTGTGGAGCGGTGCTCATCTCCTTTACAAAGCCAAAGAGCCAGTGCTGTCCGAAGAGGTCTCTGTGGTCATGTGTCTGGCATGACTAAAAGCCGAAGGCACACAGAATGCTGCTACCTTCCCACCAAAGTGGTTCCTATTTTTCTACTTGAATTTTTATATGCTTTCGAACTGCTAGGTTGGCAGAAGCTGGGACAAGTAACGGGAACTCACTCCGTTACACAGTGCTAGGGATTCGAAGGGACATGGTGGCTCAGTGGCTAAGATGTTGAGTTTGTCAATCAGAAAGGTTGGCAGTTCAGCGGTTCGAATCCCTAGCCATCATCTGATCCCAATTGTAATCCACGCTTCTTAAAATTCAGATGAGGAAAAAACTCTATTATTTATTATCGAAATCTATTTAATAAAGTCAAGGCATAGTTTTCTGGAATTTTTAAAAGCCCAACTAAAAATCCTGTGGTGTCTATCTCAGGCTATATATATATTCTCCACTATATGTGCAAATTATGATTGGTCCTATAGGAAATGATTTGTATTGGACTAGATTACTAGTTTTTGCAACTCACCACTTTTTATAGTAACTAGTAGGGGACCTCTAGCTATGAGTCTTTCCAAGCCATAATCTAAGAATGAACCTGCAAGTTTTTGTAGGCAAATCTTATGCTCTGTTGTTAAGTTTTGCTCGTGGCCAAGAGCTCTAATACCTTTGTTAGAGCTCACAGGGCATGCCAAAGCCCTGTGCCAAAATGAGTGCTGTTTAATGTATTGATTCATGGTTTGAAAGGAAGAATAGGAAACCCTTCTAAACAGCTGGTTCCAAAACTAAACAAGAATAATTGCCTTACTTGGGCAGAAAATAAAATATGCCCTCACACAAAAGGAAAAGATAAGAATCAAATGCTGCCAAGTTGGGGTACATTATCGAAAGAAATACAACTAAAGTGGTTATGAGAAATTCATCTCCCATTCTTGCATTCAATATGCCCTACCCCTTAGCTTGAATTGATAATATGCTTGAATACCATGTTTGGTTTTATTTGTAACACAAAGAAATGTGTTTACTATTAATGCAGTCCTAATTTAAAAATGAACTGGTGAAAATGAAAACAGTCAGCAAAAGCTGGAAATACGAAAACGGTGCCAGGTGGAAGCTTATAAAGCTAACATAAATGGTGGGGGAAAAAAATCTTCCTGTTAAATCAGGGGTGTGAAAATCAAGGCCCGCAGATTGGATTTGGCCCACAGGGTGCTTAGATCTGGTCCATGGGGCCACCATGGAAACAGCAAAGATCGGCCTGCGGTGCCTCTGCCAGTGAAAACAGACCTTGTCGCCAGTGGCGGTATTCAGCTGGTTCGCAACGGATCGGGCAAACCAGTAGCAAGAATTTGGCGTGGGTTGCTGGACCGGTAGTAAGTTCTGGCTGGCCACGCCCCCCCCCCCCCCCCCCCCCCCCGCCGCCCTCCCACCTGATGCTCGCTCACCCTGCCCGCCTGCCTGACATTCGCCTAAGGTATGTATTTCTTTTTTCCCCCCTCCCAATAATCAGCTGTAGATACAGTCTGCTGTGCCTGGATTCCCCTTGCTGAGGCCCAGGAAGGCAAAAAATGGAGGGAGGAGCTCAGCCCCCCACCCTCCATTTTTTGACTTGCAGAGCCCCAGAGGAGCCTTAGGGGAGCAAAAACGCACCTCCAGAGGCTCCTCTGTGGCTAAGAAGCTCCCAAAAATGGGTGGGGGCTGCAAAAAAGCCACGCCCACCCAGTCACATGGCCACACCCGCCAAGCCACGCCGACAGAACCGGTAATAAAAGTTTTTAAATACCACCACTGCCCTCTCGAGCTTCATTTTTGCTGGCAGAGGGTTGCCCGATTTCACTGGCAGAACACTCAGGCCACCATAGGTACCCCTGACATGAGTGATGTTGAGCTGGCCATGACAACCCTGGTCATGTCCACACAAGCCTCCCAAGTCAAACACAACCATGATGCAGCCCTTAATGAAATCGAGATTGACACCTCTGTGTTAGATGATCAATAAGGTATAAAGTTATAGTACAGTTATAAATAAGTCTTAACTTCAAGAATCACATAAAAATCTTGAAGCACTTGCAAATTGGTATTTCAACTCAATTTGTTCTGACCCAAACCTTGATCCAAGGAAGCAAATACAAAACAGAGGTAACAGCAAAGCCTTTTAATGATTCTTTACAAATTCTGTTCCTGCACGGTTAAAAGGCTGTTTCAAACTAATTGTCTCTAATAAGAACGAGCCTTGCCAAGGTTGTGCAAGGCTGCCAAGAACACTAGATAAAGTTACTAAGAAATATTTCAAACACAAAGAGTCTCCAAACACCAACCAAGATATTCCAAACGTCCACAAGGCTTGAGTGCAAAAACTTCTTTGCTTCCTGCAAAGAACTCCGGTCTCTCAGCTGGCTTTTATCTATTGAGGGAGGGGCCATTACCTTGCAGCCTTACACCAGAATCGCCCATGCTGCTGTAGCTGCTCTTTCCTTCAAGCAGCCCTGTGCGCACGCACATTGGGCACAGGCTCTTCGGGGATCTCTTTGTAACTGCTGCCAGCCTCCACAATCTCTGAAGGCAGCACTCCGCTCCCTGATGGTCCTGGCCCCATCCCTGCCTCACACGCAGGCCCCTCATCCGAGTCCTCACTCTCCAAGATCTCAGCTGTCTGCACCTGCTACTGGCAAACCATAACACAATAACAGAAGGCAAATGAGCCCTGCCAATCAGATTATTCACCATGGCTGATATTCTTGCAAATGCATATTGCCCCTATTTCTTTTGTCATATGAAGAATAACAATGATAATGAGAAGTGGCCTGTGCTCTCACCGTTGGAGAATCTGGCTCCCCAAGTCCCAGGTTCCCATGGGGCCCTGGTTTGAAAGGAAATACTCCTGATATATCAGCAATGATTACAGCACAGAGGATGAAGAAATGCCAGTCAGCAAGCAGAATACTGCCAGAATGTTTTGTTTCTTTTTTTCTTACTGAAGAGGGGATTGGCTGGCATCAAAATGTCTCTTTCTTAAGCATCCTGGTTTCTGCAGTGGTTAGGGACAGCTCAATAATATTGTCTGAAATTGAGCCTGGAAGGGTTAGACAGAAGTTTCATTATCAGAATGTCTCCCCAACCTCTATAGTCAGGAATCATTTATCCTGGACATTCTGAAAACAAATTTCTTATTCTGAGTGGCAAATACTTACAAGTTAAGGCCGATCCTTTCAATGAGTGCAAAATTGGCTATTTTAGAAAAGTTTGATTTAGAATAGGAGACCCAGTTCAAGTTACTATTCAGCCATAAAACTCTTTTAGTGAGTTTGGGCTCATCACCAATTCTCAGCCTAATTTATCTTAGAGAATTATTGAGAGGACAAAAAGGAGGCCTATGTATTTTAGACTCCTTGGATAAATTGTGGGAAAGAAAAGAAGAATAGTTTTCTCAGCAAAATCACTTCACTAGCAGCCATTGCAAAGCCTGCAAACTTCTATCCCTCCTTTTACATATAGGTAATATATGTGATAGGTACAAAAATGCCATGTAGCCATCACAGTTGGGAGGATTAACCTAGCAGATGTGCATTTCATTGGTTTTATAATACCTATACTGAGGTGTATTACCATACCAATCCAAATACATACAATGTTTTAGACCTAGATAGCTGTTCTGATAAGAAAATTTGATATAACTTAATGAATTCCCTGGAGGAAAGTTAGATAGACAGACAGACAGACAGACACAGATAGTCAATCAGTCAGTATAAATGGTTGTTTCAGACATATAAATGTCTTCCTGGACCTTATCAAGAAATACCACAATGTATCTATGAAGAGAAAATCCATTAATAAGTCTTATTAGCAGGAGGCCAGAAGTGACAAGGAAAACATACTAAGCAGCCAAATCAGTTTGAGCTATTGGAGAGCAAACTTGTCTCCTTTTGTTTTCACTCAGTTTGTTGCCCTATCCCTGAACCCTCATCTTGCATTATAAAGGAGAATGTATGTGGGCTATGCCTTTCTCACTGTCCAGATTTCTGAAAGAGAGAAGCAGCCAGGAAATCTCAGCAACAAAGGAGGAGAAATAGCTCCAAGGGGCTTCGCTGCTCAGGGTGGGTGGTCTGGGTTCAGGCCTAAACAGATACTGGCACTAACTCAACTAATTAATTAGTGATCAATGTTATTTGTACACTGCTGCTTTTGCAATGACACAATATTGGAAAAAGTCAACTTATCGCCACCACTGCCATCGCCCCCCCCCTTTTTTTTTAATGTGGGAGAGGAGGATCTCACAGAATGTCTGTATAGGGTAGTCGCATATGACCTACAAGAAATGTAAACATTAACTACTGCACTGAGGTCTATGCCAAAAAAAAGCAGTACATTTTTTAGGAAGCAGGTTGGTTATTCATCAGATCAACAGCACAATAATTGTGAAATCAGAACACCCCACTCACTCATCCACCTTCCAAACCAGTCCAGTGTAGCAATCCAGGTTATACTTAAACTGCTTTTCAAATTATTCTTATTCCCCGACCATCATGTTATTTTCTTGTTTATTGAAATCTGTTGTGTTTCTAACTGGGCTCACGGTTTCCTGCAAAGAGTCAAAGTACTCACTTCGAGCATGGTCTCTGTGCCTTATTTGTTGATTTGAAGAGACTTGCTGTACTAGGACATAATCCACTTTCAAATACACTGTGCTATTCAGCACAGCTCTCCGCTCTCATTCCCTTATTCCTCAGGATGCACCTTTGCTACTTAATCAGTAAGTACTGAATTGCTCTATGACTCTGCTTCTTAATTCGCTATTTAAGATCTTTCCCTTGCTGATTTGGAAATGGAACAAAGCTGCCTATTTGCCATTCCCAAGCTGCATCGAGATCCAATAGTAAAGAAGGGGCCAGCGTGACAGTTGTATTGAACGATGTGTGGCTTGTTTCTTGGCTGTGCCCAAGCAAAAGTAGGAAACGTAGCAAAAATGTTCCCACAAGGTCTATTGTTGACTCCTAGCACGCGCTACCAGCAATGACAGTAAAGGCATCCATTTGGCAGAACTGGAAAGCACATATTCCTTCAGACCTCACTTCCAGACAAATCCACGGACAGCACAGCAAATTGTAAATACACAAATGTGATTAGTTCTTTGGCACCGTTATTACAGGAAAGGGGAGCATTCAACCAAACACTGTACTTTGGCACTTTTGTCTTTAAAATCCTCCAAGCATACAGAACCGCAATGCTATTCATGGGAACCTAGTAATTGTTACATATTGCATCAATGCGCACCACGAAGTGTATGAGGCCATGAATGAAGAAAATAAACTGCTTGTTACAATGTCAGGACTTATTCCCACATTAATAAAGGGTTCCTTCGAATCGGCTGTGCCATCCAAATGCACCAAAGCGATTCTTCACTTTGTACCATAATACATCCAAATAAACTGCTGGGGACAGGCTGCTAAATCAAGAATCTGAACTCTGATGGAACATACTTATTCAGAAGTCAATTTCTTTATGTGTATATTTAAATTATAATTACCAGTGTTAAAAAAAGTTTTTCACATAACTACAATAACTTCCCAAAAGGAATAAAGTTCCACATTAAAATCCCAGTTTTAATATCGCATAAACTTCTATAATTTATATATGTTATATAAACAATATAACATAATTCGCTTGGAAGAAAGTGGGAAATAAAAGCTTATTAATTTGCTAGAATGTATGCAAGATCACTCTGGGCTTATCTGTACTCTGCATTGCCAGTATATTTTTTAATAGTCCTAAGTATTTGCTTAACTAACGGATTCCCCCCAACCTGCCTAAAAGTATTAATGTGCACAATCACATACGACATGTGAGCTTTATGAATGTGCTCTGTAATTAAACCAGGACGGGATTTTTGTAGGTTGTGTTAATTACACAAAATATACACTACCAGAGAAAGTATCTCCATTCTCCCTCATGCTAAATGATTTTTTTTACACATGTAAGATTTCAATTAATTATACACTAACCTTTACTGTGTCCAAAGGATGTCCCACAATAACACCTGCAGCTCCTGAAATTAAAAAAAAAATAGTTTCATGAAAAAGAAAACAACAAAAGAACATTTTTCTATTGACTCCCAGCACTTGTGTCACCATAACTAATCACAATTCTTCCTTGTTCAGCTCCCACTGTCAGAATTATGTGACCGATGAAACAATGGGAACCATAGATGGCCAGCAGAGAAGCACATAGGAGCCAGTTTGCAAGTCAGCCCCCCCCCCCCCCCCCAGCAGTAGTTTCCACCTAAGTTATAAGAAATAGGAAAGAAGGAGAAGTTGTTATTATGAGGAGACATGTGACTTTTAAGGCCTGTTCTTAGGAACCATGTGAGCTTGTTTCTTCTTTTTATGTTATCTCTATGATTCTGCTTACCAGAAACATATTTATATATTATTCCAGTCTGAGAGTCCAATAACACAGTGTCAGTAACTAGATTCAGACACTTTGTCACAAAGCATGACTTTAAAAAATAACTGCAACTTTGCTACTCAAAATGATTTGAAAATTAAACAAAATTAGATGCTGACTTCAACTACCGAACTTTGGAACAAGGAGGAAGATTATTTTCATTGATCCTTTCTTCCACCTACAAGATTCTCTGCCACCTCCAGTGTTCATTTGATGATCAAGGACAAATGGCCAATTTTAATTCACTGCAGGAAATTTCCCTAAATAAAATTCCACTGTTTAATTTAACTCATTGTTCTTTAAATTTTCTTTTCTTGGATTCATGAGTCAGGTAATTTGCTGGATAATGTTTAGTATTTAGTAAGCTTTAGAGATGACTACCCATAATTTTAATTATAGAATCTAACTGATTTTCCTAATCTGATTTGTAATAGTATATTACTTTTTCATGTGGGAACATAGTATGTTTATTGTATAAAGGATAACCATCAAGGTAGACACATTTCTATCATAAGGCATATTCTGAAAAGGAGAGATTTAATTCTGGCTGTATGAGTAAACAACATTTGCTGTTAATGACTGATCAATGTAACTGTTGCTATCTGTACTGGAAAGGCGATAGGTCATTTACATCTTCCAAAGTATTCATTCCATAGCATTTTACAGTTTGACAGTATTATTGTCCAAAGAGTCACCAGATATTAAGAAATGTGACCTGTTTAGATGGACAGGTTGTTTGGTTGCATATGTTTCATTCATCAACTACGTAAATCCATCAGTGCTTGTGAACGTGGGGCTTGCTTCCTGTTTGTATACACTAAGTTTTCCAGCCAGCATTGGTGGTGGGTGTAGTTTTCTCCTTGGTGGTTCATTGATTAGAGTATTGTATTTTCCTTGATTGTTTGTCTGGTGATAATCTCTGCTTGATGGCTGATTTGTCTGAATGCTGAGCAGGATTTCCCTAGCAACAACCCAGAATATCAGAAAAAGGGAAAAGGCCACCTATACAACAACTTCCAACAAAATGGGCAGCACTCAACTTTATGAGAAAGTTCCTCACCACTCAACCCGCTATAGCCCAACTAACATGAGCTATGAAAAAGGTATAACTGCCATGTTTAAAGCATCTTAGAAACTATCAACAGATTGTACAACCACAAAGCATCATTTGTAGCACATAATCCAACTAAAACCTTCAAAATATATTAAGAAAGTCAGAAGATCTAAGTAGCCCAAGAAATAAAAACAGGAGTCATGTACCACATACAATATAAGGACCTTAACGATCACTGTGTAGGACAGACAAGCAGAAGACTAGCAGAGCACATCATTGCACATCAACTAGCAATCAAAAGACACAATGAAAAACTGCTTAATCTCATAACACATGGATAGACCCAACCATAGTTTCAACTGGGAAATTGTGAGCATCCTAAACAAAGTTAAGTGCAAAAATGCTAGAGAATACCTGGAAGCTTGTCATTCAGATATTCTGAACATTTGACATTCAAATCAACAATCAACAGACATAGAAAAAACCCACATTTACACACCATTCAAAAGAGACAATAAACAGCTAAGACAGAAACAGACCACAATACATTCTCTCCCCGGAAAATAACACCCAGATAAGCAGGGACTAACATCAGATTGGCTATTATGCCTGCATGTCTTTTAACCCTGCATGGGATCTCCAAACTTGGCGACTTTAAGGCTGGCTGAGGAATTCTGGAAATTGAAGTGCGCAAGTCTTCAAGTCACCAGGTTTGGAAACTCTTGATCTAATGGAAGGGCATGGTAATCTGCTGTCTGGACTGATTGCCTTGCAAGAATGTTGATAAAGGATCTCAGATACTTAGACAGCATTGTCTTAAAGCAGCTTAAAGTTAAACCAGCATGAATACAAACCAGGAGCAGTTGAGGCCACTGTGTGTAATATAGCTTGAGTCTGAAAATGCAAATATTAATTTCTCCCCCCCCCCCAAAAAAAGAGCCTTTGAATTCCTACTTTCCATACTTGTATATGGGACATCTGCTGAATGAATAGAAGAAACAGAAAAGTAGTAAATTTTCATTTGCTAAGACTATCATCACTCCAGATTTCTCTCCCAATTATCTTCTACACCCACTACAGTCAAACTTAAGTATATTCTGACAATTTCTGCTAGAAACTCTACACAAATTGCAACCAAAGGCAACTGGCAATTTATAAGAAATTGTCTTACAGGGACTATTAAAGAATGAGCTATAACGCTTGCTATCATGAACCCACAAGCCAACTATGAGTCTTGTATTGGTCATTTAAATTGCACTGACAAGATCTTAATGTCAATCTTTATAGATAAAGAGCATAAATTACTACTACCAGTAAATTACTGGTAAATTATTTTTGCTATTACTAGTAAATTATTATTACCAGTATTATTTTAAAAAGCAAAGGATAACCAGTGACACCAAGCATGTTCGACAAGATACAATAATTCCCAGGTGAAAAAAATAAGAATCAAGTGAACAGAACCATATATTTTATATATAAACTTTATTCAAATACATGTGTTAATAACTGCTTCTCCCTTCAGAATTATTTTATTAAGAGAGCAAGTTCATCAAGTAATGGAAACTATGCAGAGACTTATTTATCATGTCACCATGTACAGCTCTACTTTTTACATATACACCATTGAAACTCAATATATAACTCAATATACTCCATGGGTGATGCCCATGTATAATTCTGAGTTGAAGAAAAGAAATATGCAGGCATTCAGAAAACATAGTAGATAGTTAGGACTAAAATTAGGATAGTTAATTCCCTAGAAAATAGAAGCCCTCAAAAAAAATGGAATCACTAGATCATAATACTAAAACCAAGGCTCAATAACAGAAAAGTAGATATTATAAAAGGCCACTACATCTCAACAAGATGTATAGATAGTAATAGATAATTTTAACTTAACATTAGTTAGTCCTTGTTTAGTGACCACAAATGGGACCAGCAACTCAGTTCTTAACCAAAGCAGTCACTAAATGAAACTGCAACTGTATTTACGATCTTACTTTAGTTTTCCTTTGATTTACCAATTTGTAAAAGTAATAAATTCAAGGATTGGTCATAAAGTTACCCATGCCTCCTATTTCTAAATGTAGTAAAATGGTAATTTTAATTCACATTTAGCGACCAGGAGTCGCTAAATTATGACCATCCCATGGAAATAAATGGGATTTTCCAAAAAAGTCTCTATCCCATGGATGCTGCTCCATTTGAGGATTCTGCAAATTATCTTTAATTGTTCCATTTGTGTATGGACCCAGTTACACAAAAGTCTCCCCTGAATCACTGATAACAGAAGGGGATGTGTTTAACTGAAAAAATAGAATGACTTCCAAATTACAATTTAGGAGTGTGTCATATTTCTCAATCTACACCACCGTGGAATTTTAATTTTTTTTCATATGAAATTGAAGATATCAATATGAAAGTGGAGGAGTAGAATTTCTCATTCCCCATGGAATCTAGTGTTGCAAATAGTCTAATTTGTTTGGAAAACTAAAATGATAAAGGAAATTTATTAAAAATTGACAATAAACAAGTTAAACTTGTCAGAATAACCCAGAATCATCTTACCATGCATCATAGGTGAAACATCTATGCAGGATGGATTTCCAAACTGAAAATGGTTTGGAATAATCATGGCATGTTATTCTGTAGTATTACTTTTTGAATTAACTGTCCTATTAATACTCTGAGTATATTTTAAGATCAAAAAGCTATAAACCCAGGATGCAGAATCTATTCTAGCAAGAAGAGGCAATAAAAGAGGAAAATTTGAAAGGGGCAAGGATGGATTGCTGTGGAAATGCCAGAATACTTGTGCATTTTGAAAAGCACATGAATCATGTGGAACCATTGCATCTGCCATGCTTAGATCTTTGGGCAGATGGGGTCTTCTTCTCCAAAGCCTTTTGTGACCTTCAGAGTTGCTGGACGATCTATAAATACACAACTTATCTTTTTCAGTTATTTAATAACCATGATATAACTTGGGAATTTAGAAACTATCACCTCCTATACAGTATTTGCTGCTTGCTACTCGCATTTATAACCTTAACTCTGAAGGAATGTACTTCATAATATATGAGTTTATGGCTGGGAGATCATATAAGGAGTATATAAATGTCTTCTAATTCTTTCTTCAACACACAGACCTTAACTACAGAAGATGAATTGTGATTGCCAGATGATCACTCGGTTGTCATTCGCCAGCAGTTATGGAGTTTAGAGTATTTGAAACCATAAGAGCATTAGATTGTAAGTTGTGGACCAGTAGGGAAATAGGTAGACAATGTTGGTATTTTTCCACATGTTCTTATCTTGATCTCTAGTCAAACCAACAGTTCATGAAAGGAGTGGCTGTACGGAGGTTTCTGACTGGCCAATATTAGACCAGCTGTCTAAAGATCTGGATTTGACTCCACAGCTCAATTAATTAGATCTCTATTAAATATTTATTAGAGGCATGAGTAAAATGGGGAAGGAAACGGAGTAATTTTTCATTAAACTTAACCCTGTTTGTGTTTTCCTCTCCTGAACCAACTGTGATTTATGGATCTAGTACCTTTGAAAGATCACAGGTCTGAGTGTTCATAACAAGCAATTACTACTTAATTCAGATGATGTTTTCTTCAGTAATTGGGTAAATTATACTCATGGAACCGTACAAATGGCTGAGAAATACACTGAACTTTATGTGTGCAAACTGTTACATTCAGAATTGTTCAACATCCAGCTAAATCTGTGCCCCTTTTAATGCTCCTTTGTTGTATTTTCACATTATTCCCACATGAAACACTTACCTCCTACCCATCCAGCTATAAAATCATCCAATTGAAAGCTGCCCGTTTTACCATATCTTAAGCAGTCCTGTTCAGTTTTAGTCTTGGGTGATGCGGTTACATTCATCTCCTTCAGCACCAGGCAAGCAAAGAAGAGAGTCTCAATGTGCCTTTTTTAAATCTGGGTGGTTTTTTTTTATCCTATTATGACTGCAGAGCAGTGGTTTCTTTGACAACTTTCAACAGCCTCAGAACTCAAACAACTCGATTCTAGTCTCTGTCTCTCTTCCCTGCAAAAGTGCCTTCAAAGCACAAAGTGACCTCATAGTCACAAAGCTTAAAGGGACAGTACAATAAGAACCACAGATTCCAGAAGTCACTCTTGCATGTTACTAATTAAAGGCAAATAGCTAATCTATGGTCAACATACAAAATAATGAACACTTTATGTCTTGTATATTTGGTTTTGTAACCAAACCAAACCAAACCAAAATTGTACATGTGGAAACTAAATTGTTCAGAGTGAAAGCATCCAAGTGACTACAGTATTTCAGAAGAATGGTGATGAAAAAATATTATAACCTGAAAGTTTTATGATATTCCTCCTAGGATGAATTTACAATGGATGAAATAGAACTGGGTTCATCCAGTGATGGAACAGCATCCGCTATTGGAAAAGAGTGAGCCTGCATTCTTTGAAACTGTTCTGTTGAATTGAGGATCCTTTAAAGCAGATTTGGAGAATCACCAAGAACCTGAAAGTATAGGAGAAAAAAAGATGAAAAGAAGATTTCTTGGGTAATGGAAGATGTAGCCAAAAACATTGAGAGGATGTGATATTTTAGTAGTATTTTCATAGGAATTGAAGTGGAAAATAGCCATATCAAGACAAATTGGGTTAAATAATAATGGGTTTATTTGTTTTCTTAGCTCTCCATTGTACTCTCTCAGGAGTTTTCTCTAATACCAAAGTTCAAATGTTTCTCTAATTCCAAAGTTCAAAAGCAGGAGTAATCTTTCTGTCCTGCTTCCATAGATTCACAGAGAAAACAATGCTGGTGTCATTCTGGTTTTTGTAGGTATAGCCACATTTTTGGCAACTGAATAACTTTTTCCAGACTTTCATTGGTGCTGAATCAAATGCTTGTCTGTGTCATATTTCTTGAATGTTGGTTCCTTTACCATTGATAACTGATTGTCAAAGGCAGAAGATACTTACCACTTCAATATCTTCATTGTCAAAAGTTATATCTAGATTGCCACTGTATTTGACATATTTCATTATAAAACTGGGGTCTGAACTTTGCTCTGTCCTCCCTTTTCACCAAGTGTATAGTTTTATAGGTTGTGAACTTGTAAACTCAAGATTTGTGTTTCCTTGCTGTTGGTGTTGTTGATTTTTATACATATAAACTGGCTACAGGGTTATTTGGGCTGAAGAGTTGAATCAAATCCTTTAAGGAAAATCACAGTGAAAAAAGTTAATCATACTTTAAGTTCCATTACATTTTCTGCAGCTGAGTTTTATGACATTTGTAACCAGCTCACTAAGTTGAATGCACCATATTCTTCCATGCTTCTGAGTTGGAGTTCTGTTGTAAAGGAAATTTATTTTAAACTGATAAGAAAATATAGTAGATACGTATCAGAAACATGGATATTAATTCCAGTGAGCTTTCAGTTATTATCCCCATATTTTAATTTTTATAAATGTATAGAATTTGAAATACTTTTATAGTTACTTGAGTTCTATGTGAGTTTTTGCGTGAAAGCCCATTAATACCGATAGTCCTCAAGTTAAGACTATTTGTTTAAGCAACCATTCAAAGGAATGACCATTCATTTAGACTGCTGAAAAAAGTGACTTATGATTGGTCCGTGCACATATGATCGTTGCAGCATCTTTGTAGTCATGTGATCACAATTCAGAATCTTGGAAATCTGTTTGAACTTACAACAATCCTGCAGTCACATGATCACCATTTGTGACCACTTTAGTTGGTTTCTGACAAGCAAAGTCAATGGGGAAGCTGGCAAGGAAGGTCGTAAGTCACAATCACATAATGTCTCAATTAACAACCTTAGTTATTCACTTAACACAGCAGAAAAGGTGACAAAATTGGGTATATTCATGTAATACCACACCTAATGACTGAACCACTTACTATTTCCAATCTCAATTGGGGTTGTAAGTCAAGGAGTACCTGTAGCTTCTTTGTCTGTTTCCATAATAATTTAACATGCAATGTTCAGACATTATAGTTATATTGGTTATATGTTTATGAGCAATGGTAGTGCAGTGGTTAGAGTGCAGTACTGCAGACTACTTCTGCTGACTACCAGCTGCCTGCAATTTTGCAATTCAAATCTCACCCGGCTCAAGGTTGACTCAGCCTTCCATCCTTCTGAGGTGGGTAGAATGAGGCCCCAGATTGTTGGGAGAAATACGTTGACTCTGTAAACTGCTTAGAGAGTGCTACAAAGCACTGTGAAGCGATATATAAGCCTAAGTGTATTGCTATGTTTAATAATTTTTCCAGCTCTTCAATATATGCATTGTAGCCAAGTTGAGATAAAACAGCATTACATTGTTTTGTGACACATAAACGCTTGTGCATCACTATACATGCCTGGTCTCTGGACCTCAGCTGTTCCTTTTCTTCTGTTTTACACTAATCCATTACTTTAAATATTAACACTTCTAGAACTATTAATGTACGCATCCGCATTATATAACTTCATGGAGAAGAGAATTTTCCTTTTTCAGCTCCCTCTTTTTGTTCCAAGATGTGACCAAGAGTTATAATTGTAAAATTTGTATGCAGATGTTATGTATGCATATTCTACACTCCTCTGTTTCTCAGTCACAATTACTTTGAATAGATTCAAATGCAGGCCCATTGTTCATCTCCATATCGTTATCCTGTATGATTAATTTGATTTGGAATCATGTTACTAACAGCACTACAATTGTTGTCAGATTTGTTCCTGTGTATCTTCCACTATTGTTACTATTTCTGCTAATTTTCCTTTCACGTTAGATCAGAATTGACCCTTAATATCAAAAGAGAATATGAAACAAATGAATAGCACAGAAATTAAATAGATAGATATGTTTGAAGACAGAGTCCTAAAGATCTAAACCACTGGGTGTTCTATGAGTAATGATACCTCTTGTGTGAATGCTGAGAACTGGAAAAGCAATCTCAAAATTTTGAAATATAAAGTAACTCTGTGTGTGTGTGTGTGTGTGTGTGTGTGTGTTTATACACACATACACACTCCCGTGCAGGGTCTAAAACAGCATAATTAGTATTGTTGATGTGTCTATCTATAATTACACTTTTTGATTTATGACAGTAATTGAGCTCGGAATTACACTTGTAAGACGTACCAGTCATTAATCAGGCCTCCATGGGTCCTTTGCCTAATTTTATGCCCTTTTTGCATGTTTCTTTACCAAATACTGTGGCCATTAAGCAAACCCATCTTGACCAATACACACTTTTTAAAACTAGAAACTGAAAATAAATGCCAGTTTCCAGCAAAAAAAAAAAAAACTAAATTGAGGTCATGTGACTGTTGGATACTGCAAATGCAGTGATGGTATTCTACTGGTTCTGCCCGGTTCTGCCAAGCCAGTAGTGGCAATGAGCAGCGGAGACTGAACCGATTTTCTCCGACGCGCTGTGTTGGGCCCACCCACCTGCCTGGGCTCCCGTACTAACCTCTATATTCTGCTTTTGAAGCGCAGCTGCTTTGCGCAGCACAGCAATTGTTGCGCAGCAGTTGCTGAAGCGTCAGGAAGAGTGCAGGATTGCAGGAGGTGACTCAAAACACCTCTGTGCCTGCACAAAGTATGCGTTAAATGCGTGCACTCGCACAAAGTGTGTGTGCACGCGCAAAGCACGGCCACCAAACTGGTGGTAAAAATATTTGAAACACACCACTGCTGTAAATGTGGGCTGGTTGCCAAGCATCCAAAATGTGATGATGTGTCTTCAGGAGGGAGGTGTCAGTCATCATAATTTTGAAATTGTATCATAAGTAGCTCTGACAATGTCTGTCACAATTTCAAAAGATCACTAAGACATAATGGTCATAAGTTAAAGAATATACACAGATATACACTATATTCACTCTGAGAAGCAAGAGCCGAAGACAGAAGCCTGAAGATGATGAATGAGACTTCATCGAAACGTTGCCTAGATACTTCGAATCTTACGCGGGAGAAAACCCGAACAACCAAAGATCCATATATACACTATAGTATATATGTATCAGAAAGACTACATATATGTATATATTACACACACTCACACACACATATTCATTCATTCCAAATAGATGCATGATTGTACTAAAAATGAGACAAAAGACAAAATACCTATCTTCTTGGAGAGAATTTATACTTTTCTTTTCCAATCTAAACATTTGATACTTCACTGTCTGTGGCCAAAGTATGTGCATACAGGTTCCAGAGGGTTCTAAAATAATACTGTACTTTGAATGGGAGAGGGAAATGCCTAATGGACTTAGACTAAGTAACCAACCTATCAGAACTATCATTCTTTTCCATTCTATCATGGAATCTGATGCTTAGTTGCAAGAGGGGGGGGTTCTTCCCCAACGAACTAAGAGACAAATCCGCCTTGAGTCCTTAGTATACAGAAAAAGGCTCTTGAAGGACTTTTCCTAAACCTTCACAGCAGTGGTGGGATTCAATTTTTTTTTACTACCAGTTCTGTGGGAGTGGCTTGGTGGGTGTGGCAGAGGAAGGATACTGTAAAATCCCCAGTCAGAAGTGGTATTTGCCGGTTCTCCAAACTACTCAAAATTTCCACTACCTGTTCTCCAGAACTGGTCAGAACCTGCTGAATACCCACCTCTGCTTCACAGGATATATCTGCTGGTTATGCAGAGTGTACTTTAGTTTGGCAAAGTCCTGTCTATGTGTGTGTAACAATAACAAACTATTCAAGCTATTCATCATCTCATTCACAGCTCCTTGTGCATTAATAGGGATAATGAATTTCGTAGCATGATCATCTCCATCATATACTTTTTCCCAAAGGTAACCTATTTCAGTCTGAAAGAATTATTAAACTAGAGATAATTCTTCTTTGCATCGGAAAGCCTTGCCTGTGAGTAATTATATAATTATGATTTTAACAATGATATTGAAACATCTACAGAAACAAAATACTTTTCAACTAAGATACAAAAGCAGATTATACAAAGTTAAA